GATGATTTGTTTCAACTGTTGTAGTCCCCTCTGAAAGTTAACGGAATTTTATGTCAGGTACATTAATTTCCCATTTTACATTTAATTACACTGAGGTTTTTAAATTAGTTTTTTGATAACATCAAGCGGCCTAGCATGTAAAAATAAACCACCTACCACACCATTAAACATATATTCTAGGGAGGGGGTAAGGTTAATAGAGATTAGCGATATACTATTTGAACACCGGGTGTCACTATTGGAGTGCGAATCCTGCGTCGACTCCCACGGAAGAAAACGACCTTGACATTCTGCTTAAACAATTTTTCAATTATTTGTTTAGTACAGAAATATCACGAAAGATCATGAAGTATCACTGGCTAGCCCATGTAAACGTTCAAGCAGGAGAGTGCTACAAATCATTGTCGGCTATCACACTGTACCGTGAAAAAATCAATATTAACTGGTAGTTATACCTAAAAGGAGCGTTTTCTAATCCTGAAAAAATTATTTTACCTCTTGCCGTGCAAGATAACTTATACATATTTTAAAACTGACAGTCTGTCCTCATCAATATCCTGAGGCGAACGGATGAGTTTGATTGTATTGGGATATATCCCTCATCATCATGTCGGTCTTTTTTAGACTGTTCTTCCAGGTAAACAATTTAAACGGAAACAACGTGTGTTTGTTTTTTTTTGATCGACCAAGACTGCATCCCTCTATCCGTTTTAAGAAACAAAGCTTTCCAGGAGCTTCAGTAAGTGAATACCCAGTCCCTAAGACAAGGAGATCTGCTGATAGTAAACTTTGGCTCAATTTTCAGAAGATCGCGTCGTTCTTGACCAATATTATAACTGCAAATATAATACGGAAAATGATATCTGTAATTAGAAACCAACGTGTTTTTATTTTTTGTCAAACAAGATTACGTGTACACCCCCCTATCCAGACGTTTCAGTATGTGAATGCAGTAAAATTTAACTCAAAGAAAGTTTCTTTTTCTTTCATTATCGGTATTACACATACAAATTGAAATCCTTGATTTGGCTGTAATTAGCGATTTCAAACTAAGAAGCAACGTGGTTGTTTTGTGTGTCTTAACTAAGAATATCCAATGCATTTTGTAAGTAACAGAGACAGCTTTCGAGAAGTTTCAGCAAGTAAATGCAGTAAAATTTGACACAAAGGTTTATTTTTCGTTTTTGATCAATATTGATCATACAAACTGAATATTAATACATCAAGCGAAATCCTTGATTTAGCTGTAATTAGCAATTTCAAACTAAGAAAGATAGTTTTCGCCTTTTTTCGTTTTAATCCTTAATCGCAAGTAACGCAATAAGATATGTTACTTTAGACGCAAAAGCAATCTCTGCACTACGTTTTCAATTCAGTTTATACAAAGTTGACACTTTGTCAGATTGGGAAAACAAAGCCTGGAAAAGAGCAGTCAAGTGTAGATAAGACAAAACGAAATGGTTCAATTTTGATAATTAAAAACGGTTAATACTACTCTTTCGTTTTTTGGATTATATTAATGTTGGTTAGTGAAGACCAGTAAAAAAAATTCTCAACAAAAGCCGGCAAGGACAAGAAAAAAGCAAACTTGAAAATAAAATAAGAAACTTTAATTTTGTTTGCCATATTTCATAAAAGCATTCTAACTCAGGCAGCTGTATTTACTTAAGAAGCAATATTAAGCTTGAGATAAGGTTCCATACGTCAACCATTAATCCTAAAGAAAATGACTACGACCAATCGTAACATTGGAACTCGACCTGCAAGATCTAAAATTATGATTGCTACGTGCTCGTTCTTATAAAGAAAGACGTAGCTTCAAGGTTCTTAGGACGCACAGCTCAAAACTCTACCTTCTTTAGGGTACAATTCGCCACAAGGGCTCGTTTTCCCCTGAAAAATATTCTTCAGTCTAGGAGCATCAGCGCTTAAGACTTTGATTTCTTCGAAGACGTATTTTGATCATCAACATGGATGGAAACAATCAAACTTTACCTGTTAATGCAACCAACACTTCAATTCTTGAAGGACAAAATGAGGCTCCTACTGGGATCTGGTTTTGGTTCATAATGGGCACGATTGGTGTCGTCGCTTTCTTCGGCAACACTCTGGTCATTTTGTTAATCGCAACTCGTCGAAGACTTCAAACAACTTGTAACAGCTTCATTTTGTCTCTTTCATTCTCTGACTTGTTGACTGCCATCACGACAATTCCAGGATCTTTTGTTTGCGATTTCGGAGTCCAATGCTCGCCAATTTTCTATACCATGTGTAGTTTCTTCATTTGTGCTTCGGTAGGGAATGTTTGCACCATGACAGGAGACCGATTCTGCCGAGTCGTGTATCCGTTACGATATCCTGTGCTAATGTCTCCAAAACGAGTCGTTGTAACTATCGGGATAGGATGGACTTTGCCCATCTTTCTGCAACTCATACCAGAACTTTATATTTTTTTGAGCCCAACCATGCTCAAGTCCAACCAAAATGCTCAAAGCATTTTCAATGTTATACAAATGTTTACATTTGCCATTTTGCCTTGCATAGGACTTTTGCTTGTCTATGCGAAGATATCGCGTATTACTTTGAAGCATTCGAGGCGTCAACGAGTTCAAGTGGAGCAAATTAGTAGAAACTCGCGTATATCGCAACAAATGGCCAAACAGGTGACTCGAAAGTCTTTTTCCGTTCTTGTTCTTGGTGTGGTAATATTTTTCTTCGTTCTTTGCTGGTCTTTCTCGATCTACAGGGGAATTTGTAATAGCTTCTCACTATGTAAAGTGCAACATTCCTTGGTCTTGGTTTCGAGGATTTTTTTGGTTGCCAATACTGCAGCTGACCCAGTTGTGTACGCGATTCTGAAGCAAGACATCAGAAGGGAGGTGGTTCGCACGTTCTCGACAAGAAACCGCATACGAGGACGAGATCTGGGTTTAACGGAGACTCGGATTGCCGGCCAGTCTTACATGTAGCAGTTACAGTTCCGTCTCGCAAAACTAAGACTACATGAGTAAACGGCAATACCTCAGACCTCTGAAGTTGCAGTTCCTGTAGCGGACTAGCTGTGTTTTAGAATATTTTAAAGTATTCGTCATTGCTAATTGCATTAAGTTGATATTAGAGAAAGGTGTATATATTTCTAGAAGAATTGCTGCTTATTTAATTCTTTTTAAATAACCTGCTTTAATATTCTAAGAGGGAAGGACAAGGTGGTGAGCTTTTGATTAGCAATAGAAATACAAATTGAGTGATCGTATCTTTCACTTTGCGCTTAATGTCGGTAACTGACGAACAACATAAAGCTTTATCTACACTTTACGTCCGTTTCTGTCAATAAAAAAAAAAACTACTTGAGCCTTATTGTTGACATTAGTGGCCAATGGGCAAAAAAAGAGCCAGAAAAAAAGCAGGAAAGCTCACGACAAGAATAAACAATATTAAAAAAAATAAGCACACGCTGCATAATTGATAAAGATAAAATAATTCAGTAGTCTCCTCAGAGAATACACGCTGTCTTACAAATATTATTTTTCACAGTTATTCTGGTTTTCGATTAAGGTATGTGAGGAAACGTTTTGCTTATTTTCTGGCAGTTTTTAAGCTTCCAAGTAGGATGGCTGAGAAAAAGTGTCGAAGTGGAAATTCACCAAATGTAAATTAGTGCATTTTCCTAGTAATATAAAATAGGGACCTTTCGTCATGTTTGGTTAAAACCAGATGACTTTTCCATGGAACCCAGATTGAGACAAGTATATTTACCCAAATTTACCTTTCTTTTAACATCTGTTTATCGTGAAAGCCATTCTGACGGAAGACAGAAAATAACAGTAAATTATAACTCTGCTTTGTAACGACAAGTAAGGACTTTGTGACAAGGCGTTTTGCAGATAGTTGAAATGATTCAAAAGCATGCGTCGACCTGACTTCGTTAAAAATCATTTATCACAATCCTTACTTGGACTTTGAATAGGTTACTATATTACCTACTTGAGAAACACATAACCCAAAGACATATTTATTTATTCAACTTCGCCTAACTTTTAAAAATATATCTCAACGTACTTATTTGGTGTTCTAAGATGATCTGTAACTCATTCTTTCTAAAATAGTTTGGATACAATGTAAATTGTCAGACGATGGCTAGGTAATTGTCCCGCGTAAAAGGGCACGAGCATAAATTTGCTTCTAACGTGGTCATGATCTGATAGTAGAATTTAGACGAATGATTAAAAAGGCAAAGAGAACGAGAGTTACAATTTCGCTCTCTCAAAAAGATGAAAGAAGATTATATTCCACTGCTAGTTTTCAAATGTCAGTATAGCCAAGAGGTTGGTTGTTAAGTTTGCTTTATCTCCAATAAAAGGAACTGTGCAGAACCTTGATCTGTAAACTATTTTATTTCATGTGGCATATATCCTGAAAAAGTTTTTTGTTTGTTTGGGGTTTTTTTGTGATAAAACGAAAAAAAGATCCGATCATTGCGTTTTGAAGCATCACTGGTCCAAGGGAAGGTCGAGGGCGACTGGATCAATGTTTTATTTTCAGAGCTGGCTGGGCACCGGATTCTACGGATCAATGCCGGATTTTCTCTAAAATAAATGAACTAGGGTTTCACTCCTATTTTTGACATCTTATATCTATTTTAGACAATGGGCAATAAGGGGAATTTTATTTCAGAGCTACACAGTCAAAGCATGATTTAGTAACTTTGACCAGAGAACTATAGTAAGATAGGTACAAACGGAACAGAGCTAAAAAATCCATCCATTACAGCATCACATCCACACTCTCACGGCCACAGTCCGTCACACCCTCTTTTGAGCGGGCATAACTGCGTGAGTTTAATCTGTAAAAAAATCCAAAAATCGTTCAATGCAAGTATCGTACACATAGATTTATGGGCATCGAAACAAATTTCGTACTTCAGTTCTTACATCCCTTTTTAACAGGGTACACACAACTGGGTTAAGAGCAGAGATTGTGTAGATAAAAAGTAATGACAAATGGTCTATAACAATTTCGTCTACAGGACATTCAAAATAATGTCGGCATAGTGATTTATAGATATCAAACGTCCAGCAGATGACAAACAGAATAACGACAGCCCCAATGACTTTTACGGATCTCTCTTGCATTCGCAGTCTCGAGTTAGGAATTATCCTGGCCTTGCGAGCTTGGTTAAATCTCAACTGAGCAAGCTGCGCCGCCGTGTTGGTCTTCGCAGTTTTCGAGCGGTATGCAGTTTTTGCATGTGCATAAACAACAAAATAACTGGTGGTAGAAACTCAAAGAGGATTAGCATAGCTATAGCTGCCGTGTGGATCTTCTTGGCTTGGTCTTGAACTTCAGTGGAGACCTGACCATGCCAGAAAAAAGGCAAACATGCGAGCATTGCAGGGAAAACCCAAGAACTGGCCAAGTGCATGCACAATCCCAAAGTATCAATCAAACGTCATCATGCAGGTATTGGCGATAAAAATAACAAGAAATGTATTAAAGGCAGAGTAAAACACTGCGTTGTTACAAGAAATTCCTTTCTGTTGGCAGATGAAAGATAATGAAGAAAGAAGGAGTCCAACAAAAAAATTCGCCACGGATAACGACAACACAAACCAGTTACAAGTGATTTGGAGATTTCGTCTCTCTAAGATAAGGAAAATAACAAGGCCATTGCCAGGCACTGTTAGCAGTATCCAATACCAAGCAGGCTGCTCCGCAGGGCTATCACTCCAGTGTTTTTCAGTTAAATTTGTCAGATTGCTAGCGAAATCAACTGCCATTCCTTTGATTGTACCAGAAACTCATCAAAGCTACCTTCAAAATGAAAGCAAAATAAAAAACTGAAGATTTGCAGTGAGGGATTTCAGTTGTAAGCTTTATATTATCATTGACATTCATTCATATTAGCTGTACCACGAGTTTCAGTCGATTCAGACAAACAGTGGTCATGTGTATACAAGATGAAAGAACGGTCACTTAAGAAAATGACCAAAACCCGCCCTAATGCTCATCACTCCGACCGGGTTCAGCAGGGGCCAAATGATATCGATGATCGTTACACGTGTACATGTTAAGAAAAGTAAATCGAAAAGAAACAGTTACGCACCTTACGTAATTGAGTTTACAGAGAGTAACTTTTGGGATTCAAGTTTTATTTTAAATAGAAAGTGAATCACCGCAGGCTACCGACTGCAAAAAAAAAAAGACTGATACACGTAAACTAACAGCATGAAGACAAAACAAAACTGCATGAAAACAAAACAAATCTGCTTAAATTAAATCTCCGAAACTGCCCAGTAGATTTTTTGATATTATCAAGCCATGTTATGGAGCGAGCTAAAACGTAATTAATGTTTCCTTTTGTTATACCGATGTTTGTTAACTTGCGGCATGGGAAGAGAGCGAGAAACCGCCAATAACTATTTACACAAGAAAGCGGCTTTTCAAAGACGTTTTTGTGATGGTAATAATCATAGGAACTGAAGAAATAACATTTTACTAGAATTAAACGCAAAAAATTAAGATTGAAATCAAATAATAATTGCGGTTGGAAGAGGTAGTGTTAATCCCACTTAGAAACATGAAATATTCTACAAGACTTAAAAATCGTCAAATATTGTTTGTTTTTTCATCGATCAAGACGTGAATATAATGTAAATGATTCACCATCTTAGTGTTATAAGGTTTATCCTTTCTTTCCTTTTCATTAATTCAGCGCTGAATTCAGTAAAGTTATACCTGTAAGAGTGCGTCGGCTGTCGCTTTTTTTTTTTTTTTTTTTTTTTT